GGTATACACGTGGCAGTGTGATTTGCTGCCTTCCTCCCCCTCACCTATATCTGGCATTTTTCCCCATGCCATCCCCCCACAACTACCCACCCCCCGCTGTCCCTCCCCTATTTCCCTCCAACAGACCCCAGTGTGTAGTGCTCCCCTCCCTGTGTCCATGTGTTCTCATTGTTCAACACCCGCCTATGAGTGAGAACATGCGGTGTTTGAATGAATTAGTGCTTAGTTGGTGGTCTCACTAACAGCACGCAAAAGGAGAAAATGAAAAAGCCTTGACTGTGAAACAAGTATTAGAGCAAGGAAAGAAAGGAACACCTTAAAATTAGAGAAAATGTCATATATGAGTTTATGAAAGATTTCTGTTCTACTCTTGAAAAATCCAACAATCCTCTGTAATCTTTCCAGTTCAATCAAGAAATCATACAGGATCAAAAGGAACATCCTGAACTGGCACCCAAGATGGGGGAGGCTTGGTACTTTTCTTCATGAAAAGGAACTATTTCTGGCCCAGGCAGTTGAAGATGGCTAGAAAACTAGATTTCATGACACAAGAAGCAAGATAGCCCTAGAGATCACCGATGTTTTCAGAAATGCTCTGCAAGTCAGATAAAGGCTAATTGAGAAGACGACTCCATTGATAGGTGTGATTTAGCCATGACAAACACAGAAAACAAGTCAGTCAGGAGACAGTGATTAAAGAACACTTCAGTTTGTAGTTACACTGAAGAAACTAAATATAAAAGATGAAATAACAAGTATAAAAACCACAAGTTCCATATACTATGAGTTGTATTCAAAGTCCAAGTTAATAATCACAATTTTTTAAAAGTACATAATTACAGATCCGTCCCAGCTCCGGGGTTGAACTGCCTTTAAATACTTCATTCTTCAAATGATTGTGTTATACCTGATAAAGAAAGTAGTAGTATGTGTAGAAACATAAGATATATTGTTACAAAAAAAATTGGGCAGATAATTAAATTTATGTCTATATAAGGTAACAATTTAAAATTATTAGTCTAAGCTTATAATGACTATAATTTAAATCAGAAAAAGTATGAACATTGATTTCCTTATTTATCAGTATAAAGAATGGCATTACCGCCAAAGAATCATGAAAAACACATTCAGAAGTACATTTTGGCCTAATTCAAATAAAACATTGAGTTCTGGAATGGTGTCGAGTAAGATACTAACGAGCTTATGTGAGTGTAAATAAAGGTGATTCAACCGAAGATGTTATGTGCTGCTATCATTAACCCTACCTTTCCTGGCTTCAATCCTACAGTCTCCTTGAATTCTTTCTATTTCCTCTCTGTGTCTGTGACATCTCCACTGAAATAACCTACCTGGGTTTTACATTTGCTCCTTTTTATTGCCTCTCCCATGCGCCTAGCCCACATTTTTAGGGCACTCAGGGGTCTCACAGCTGCCAGCAGCACCCCTCTAAGAGGGCATGGTTATCCCTGGGAGCCCCCTCCACTAAGAGAAAAAGGTTATCCCTGGGAACGCAGTATACCTGTGACACTCCCTCTGTCCTGTCATTAGCAAGTTTTGTCACTTACCTAGGAACAAAAAATTAGCCTCCTGGTTCTTTGCTATCACAGCTTGTTATTTTTATACATTGAACTTAGCAACAACTCCTTTGATAGTCACTACACTAAAGTTGTGGTGTTTGTGTTTTTTAAATTTGAAGTGGCCTTCAGTGTTTCTTTGGCCGAACCCTAACCCAAAATGCAATCAACTGGGGCTAGGGCCACAGCTTGAAGGGACAGAGATTGCATGTTTCACACATGGAGGACATATGCTCAGCTGAATCGCCACCATCCATAAATGTTCCTTTCATGTTTCCTTGAAAATTTTGGTTTCACTGAGCATATATACCCCGTTCGTTTTCAAAACTGAGGGCTGCAGATTTTTCTACAAAATCTTTAGAGGGAAACATCCCCACTGGCTTTTCCTCATGACAAACCTAAGACAGGGCCAGTGTCTTGGGTTTACACCAGTCCCCACATTGGCAAGCATTAGAGTCTCATGCTCAAAATAAGAGTGACTGTGCATTTTTGTAATCTGCTGAAGCTGCATATATATTGATTACTTTTAAAAAGGAAAACTCAAAAAGCTGTGAAATGAGATCTGTATACAAGGAGACAAAGAGTTGACTATTTATATTTCTCAAATTCATCAAACTTTTCAGATCAACTTTTTCTTGTGAAGGTTGGTCTTAGGGTCCTTAGTAGGCAATGGTTACTTTAGACAAAATATCATCCCATTTCTAGAATGAAAGAAAAATGACTGTGCAAATATACAAACACCCCCGAATATAACTATTGGATACTAGGCTTAGTACCTGGCTGAGAAAATAATCTGTAAAACAAACCCCCATGACACGTATTTACCTGTATAACAAACCTACACATGTACCCCGAAACTAAAATAAAAGATTTTAAACAGCCCCTAAAGCATGACCTTGGCTCAAAGAAGATGCGGTCTAATCAAGGTTTTGCTAGAAAAAGCCACCTCTAAAGAGATAGCAGATAAACCACCTGAGGCAATGAGGAAATTGGTGCTCCTCTTTCTTGGATATCAGTATAGGTATGGGTTTCTACTTGATGTACACATTCAGTACGGTTTCAGAAAACTTGCCTTGGTATACTTAATTTATGTCTTATTTGCCTTCCGAGCTAAAGCTATGGGTTGGAGATAAGCCAATTTCAGCTGTAGAAAACAGATTATTTGTTCCTCTCCTATACGTTACCCAACTGTATTAATTGAAATAACCCCAATCATTACACCCAGACTCTTGAAATGAACATTTATATGACAAGTGAGAGGGGGACTATAAAAATGAGTGATAATTTTCCTCTTTCCCCAACAGCTGGCTGCCAGGGCAGGTCATATTCGTGTCAGTCTGTCTCCATTTTGCATGGGGCTGGCACTGCATGTGGCAGTGCATGTGTTGGGCATGGCTCTTGGATCCTGGTTTGGTGTTACTAAATTCCCACAAAGGCCTTGTTTGGGAGAAATTGGAGGTGCAGAGCTTGCTCCCATTTGCCATTCAAATATGCAGATTACTAGCCAGGGACAGTGGCTCATGCCTTTAATCCTAACGCTTTGGAAGGCTAAGGCGGGTGGATCACCTGAGGTTAGGAGTTCAAGATCACCCTGGCTAACATGACGAAACCCTTTCTCTATTGAAAATACAAAACTTAGCTAGGCATGGTGGCATGCACCTGTAATCCCAGCTAATGAGGAGGCTGAGGCAGGAGAATCGCTTGAATCCTGGGGGTGGAGGTTGCCATGAGCCAAGATCGCCCCACTGCACTCCAGCCTGGATGACAGAGCAAGACTTCATCTCAAAAAAAAAAAAAAAAATCAGATTGCAATACATCAGTTGCAATAACCAGAATATGTCCTGGGCTGTTTTTACTAGTTTTTTGTTTTGCTTTTATTGTGGAGAATAGGTCCCTGCTCCTGTAGTCCCTTCCTCCTGGTTTTGCTACCTACTAAGTGTAAGACATGTGTTACTCTAAGACGTATATTAATTTACCACTAAGGTTGCTCATGAGTTTGATCAATTGCTTACCAAAAAAAGCTTACTGACATGAAAATACAAATAGTTTTTTGGGTTTTGTTGTAAAGAGTACAAGGTTAAGTCATTTGTATAAAAGACTATCTATAAAATAAACTCAATATCTAAGTCTAAACTATATTCAGCTAGATTTGCACATTACCTTTTTTCAAGGTAAGAAAAGTATAATTATAATTATAATCTTTGAGAAAATACTAAGTTAGTGATCAAAATAATATGTGTGCATTTTATTTTGTAAGATGCAAATTACTAAAAAATAGATGCAACATTATCATTAAAACTATCATCATTGTTATCGATACATGATACCATATAGCACAGATGTACTTACAAATTCATTTTATATATAAGAGGAGGGGGGAGTATTAATAATCCTAACATCCTTTCCAGCTCCAGGGCACAGTTGTAGAGTGGCGCCCTCACCTGTAGTTTCATCAAGTTTAATTTACAAGCATGTATTTATCAGTATTTAATAGCACATTTCTGTTTTTGTACTCTAACACAACATAAAGAATATATCAAAATGAATTCTAAAAAGAAATCTTTGTTAAAATTTTCATTATATACCTTCTGTACAATACTTTATGCCATCATATTCAAAACGTTTTAGTAAATTTTCCCACCCATATCCTTATTTACAATTTATAGTTACCTTACTGAATCTTAGATTATCATGATCACAGCAGCACTATGTATTCATATGCTTGTCTAAAGTTTACAGTAAACATACAACATTCTGCAAACAATACCACTTTGCTTTCTGTGCCTTCCTGGTTGACATTGTTTATATTTTTTCCTCTAAGAACTCCAGTGATCAGATTGCAATACAATGCATGTCACATAAACAAACACAAACACAATCATCCTCAAAAGGTGATTATGATCTTTTTGTAGTAGCAATATGTGTATAATTGTGAATTAAGAGATAAACCTCTATAATTTTAGTTATATTACACAACATGGTAGACATATTGATTTCTGCCTCTCTGAAAATGCATATTGCATGTCTGAGATTATAGCAAAATTATCATGTGCCTGGAAACATCCAAATGTTTATTATTTGAGGCTTTAAATTAAGATCAGCATTAAATCATGTGTTTCCAAGTTCCATCTAAAGATAATTTATTTTATTTCACGCTAAAAATATTGCTTTTCTCACATAATCATTGTATTCCCTTGTTATCAACAAGACATCTAATAACAAAATTATACCACTTTTTTTTGTTTTAAAAAAATGCTTGGGGCCTGGCACAGTGGCTCATGCCTGTAATCTCAGCACTTTGGGAAGCCAAGGTGGGTGGATCACCTGAGGTTGAGGTCAGGAGTTTGAGACCAGTCTGACCAATATGGTGTAACCCTGTCTCTACTAAAAATACAAAATTACCAAGGCATGGTGGTGTGTGCCTGTAGTTCCAGCTGCTCAGGAGGCTGAGACAGGAGAATTGCTTGAACCTGGGAGGTGGAGGTGGCAGTAGTGAGCCAAGGTAATACCACTGTGCTTTAGCCTGATGACGGAGTGAGAGTCTGTCTAAAAAAAAAAAAAAATGCTTGGCTTTTAAGCTACGAAGCTATATTTTTCCTACTATGACTTTAGTTTTTAATTAGATTTTCTATCAACATTGTATATATCGTTTATCCATTCAAGTTTATAATCTATCTTGCTTTCTAAAGAATCACATACCTTTTTCTCCAAAAGTTGAGATTACCTATCGTTTGCATATAAAATTAAATAATTTAGATTTTTTGAAATAATATTTGAGACTGAAATACTGCTTGCCAATGCACCAAACAAAAATGATTACTTCTAAGATGGTATCGACTGGCAATGTGTGAATTGTCATCAAAAGCAGCCTGGTAGGGGAAAATTTCAGTTATGTCCCAAAATACTTAGAGAAACCCAGTAGGAAAAAAGAAAACAGTGGAAGTGATCCCCAAATCGTCCTGATTGAGTTATTCTCTTAGAAAAGTTTCCAGAAAGTCTGTCTATAAAGGTGAAGGGTTTGGTCCTTTTATGTGGCTTCTAAGATGCCAGAGTAGCCTCACAGCTGTCTGTCGCAGCTTGCTGTTTCCCAGAATGAGAATAAATGAGTGACATGAGGGAAAGACATTTAAGGGTAACATGATGAACTTTAAGTACCTGTTATTCCATGATACAAAAACTATCCAGCTTGCCATTTGTGAGGAAAAAAAATGAAATATGAAGAGGAAAAGGAAAGACATCACCATTTTCATGGCTGTCCTGTGGGCCTCTGTGCTGGAGTCTCTAGGGCCCAAGGAGCTGAGCTTCATATTTCTAGTGTGTCTCACCAAGGACAGAAATAAGAAAAGCAATGAGGTCAGGCACAGAAAAAAGGGGATCAAACTGGCCAAGCTAAGAAGAGTGTTTATCATAGAGAGTTTATCATAGAGAGTTTTATTTTCATCTAAATATAAAGTCAGATTACTTTCACCTGTTACGTTCAGTGTGATATCAGTAAACATGTATACCAATAAACACTCAAAAATCAGTAAGAACAAAGACAGCGTAAGAAGCATAACAATCACTCTGTTCATCCTCCACCTCAGCCAGAGGAAAAGGGAGTGGGAGAAGTGGGCTATCTTAAAGAAATAGAAAACGCTTAGGCAGGTGGCAAGCCAGGTTGTCAAGTGATTAATCATGTACAAAAGCATACCAGCAGGTTTTCCTATTCTATATGTTGTATATAAATATGGATTAAGTCCCATTAGACATGAATTAAACAGCATCACCAAGAGTTGAACAATTGTGGAGCTAGCCAAGCAGGTGAGGATGAAGTCAGCCGAGAAGACCTTTAGCTTCTTGATCCCATCAGAGCAGTTTACCAGTCCAATGAACACATTCCCCAGCATGCCGATGATGAATTCCACTATTGTCACAATCAGAAAGATGTTATCCAATTCGGTGGCCATTTTCAGAGAAAAAGAAATCCAAGTTTCTAATACTTTGCATCATTAATAAACCTACAATCAAGCCATTGCAGAATAGCATTCGTTTCTGACACTTATCTTCATTGCTTTAATTTCACTTCCAGTCTTAATCAAAATCTTCTGCTGTTGGATACAGTCTCATATGCTTCAGTAAGTCTTTGCCTGTTTTTACTGTAATTCTGATCTTAATCCCAAAAGATCTATTAAGGAATGCAGTCTCACATACCTTCACTGAAGTGTTTTCATTTCTTTGAAAGAGCTACCGAATTCTAAACCAAACAGTTTCTGTGTCCATTTATCATTGGCATGGGCTGAAACTTTCCACTTGTGGTAATGATTAAAAGGTTAAAGTCAAGTATGTTAACAAGCAAATATAAGCCAGATTCCCCACTATCTCTGATTGGACATTTCTGCTCACCTGAAATAATATACCACTTGGATCCAAATATCTTTATTGTTTTTCATAGGAAGCTCTAGAAATAATTTACATATTTTTGTTATTATTCAATGAATATATTTTATAAGTGCCTTCTATGTGTCTGACCGTATGCAAATGCAATATATTTACCACAGAAAAAGCATTTCTATTTATCACAAAAAAGCATTAACAAGTTTATAAAATACTGAAAACAAAAAAAAAGCAATGAGACAGAATCAAAAATAAAATACACTATCAAAGCAGAATGGGGAACTACAAACACTACTGTGGGGGAGCAAAAGGAGGTGACATTTGCCTTGGATCTGGAAAATATTTAATATTTCAGGAGGAAACTCAAGTCATATTTTGAACTGAGAGAATAATATCCAAAAGACAAGGAAACTCAAACTACTTTTGTGAAATTAAAGTCCTACTAATATTTCAATCTAAATGTTCCTCAGGTATCTTACAGTAACTTATTCAAAATTAAACACAGTTTTGCCCTTTACTTTGGTTTTATATATGTTCTATTTGTTTTCGATTTTTGGTTTTGCTTTCTCTTTGCCCAGAGATATAATGCTACAATTTAGCCTTAATAGACAGACAGAAAATTGTTTTAGATGAAATAAGGAAGGAGTAAACAAAAGTATTTGTTCTACATTCTACGAACATTTATTTTGACAAAAAATGCCTAATGCGTCATAATTGAACTCACAGCTATCGAGTATGTGTCTTGGTTTATGGTCAGCAAACAGATATTCTATTACTAGAAATTAGTGTTCAAGTGTTGCCAGACAAAAATAAACATGAAAAATGAATGAAATCATTTTTAAAACCTGGACCTTTGTAATGTCGCTGTGATACTCCTCAATCACATTCTATTAATGAATGTTTAAAAGTGTATATTTTAAGAATGATGTTTATAAAGGACTACTGGTAAGTTATTTCCTATGAAAAATATATTTTCATTTAGGACAAATATTTACAATTATAGTAAGACAGGAGGAGAAAAAGAGTAAGCAGGAAAGGAAGGAAAGAAAGAAGAGAGGGAGAAAAGAGAGAATGAGAAAGGGAAAAGAAAGGGAAAGAGAGAGGAGCAAGCTTAAGAGACGGGGAACAGCGGAATGAAATCAAGAACTGTAGCAATACTATACGAAGGAGAATTATGGCTTTGGCCAAATTAGTGTCTAGCGATGGAAAGAAATGTATGGCTATGGGAAACATTTAAGAGAAAGAATCAATAGTCTCTGAGATGTATTTAGAGGCTGGAAAAAGAAGAAGAACTCTGCAATGACAGTTAGCCTCTCCTTTCACTCCTGGATGCATGTGGTGCGGTGACCTGAGGGAGTCACTGGGGGAAGAATAGGTTTAGAAGCCAAAAAGTAGGAGAAAGGAGAAAAGTTGGGAGAGGACTTCTGTTTTGAACATTTTGGAGGATCTGTAAAGTCATCCAAGTGTATAGTTGGCGTAGGCATTTTCATAATTGTGGCTGCAGCTCAGAACAAAATATTTGACCATATGGAGAGGTTTGGAGAATATCAACACATATTTGATTCTATAAGACATGAGGTGCTCCAAGGGCCCTGAGGAACACCAGCGGATAAGGAAACCAAAGAAAAACTAAGAAGCCATCAGAAGGAAGAGGAAAACCGAGAGACTAGAATTTCAAAGCAACTAAGAGCAAGGAGTGTTATAATGACGGTAATCAGTACTTATGATATTCATGAAAACTCACTTACTAACTGGATTGAGGAACAAGGAACTGCTTAGTTAACTTTGCAAGAGAAGTTCAACTGAAGACAAAGCAAACTATCCCGGCTTAAAGAGTCAATGAGATCCCAATAACGAAGCATTAGAAAACCAACTAATGTAATTCAATACATTAACAGATTAAAGGAGACACATCCAGAAGAAATTTTGATACAATTCTGCATCTGTTTACAAATATTCTTAGCAAACTGGGAATCAAGTGAAATACTCTTATTTCCTGACAAAAAAAAAAGTCAAAAAAAAAAAACTTAGAGCAAATTATAGCTATCAATGATACATTGAAAACTTTCTCCCTGAGTTTAGGACTAAGTTAGTGGTAACCATCTTACTAGGTATATTTTTTAAAGATTTCTACTAATCAAAGTAAGGCAAGAAAAATACATTTTAAGAAATTATAGGCTGGATATGGTGGCTCACCCCTGTAATCCCAGCACACTGGGAGGCCGGGGGCAGGTAGATCACTTGAGCCCAGGAGTTCAAGATAAGCCTGGGCTACATAGTTTAAAATTAACTGAGATAATTTTTAATCTTCAAAACTCTGCAAAGATCATTTGCATTTCTTCATACCGTCAACAGTTTCAGTCTGAAAAGACCTTCACTTTTTTGCCCGTATAATACATATTGAATATAATCAAACATTCAACAGTTTTTAAAAATTTAAACCATGATCACACTCTTTTTCTCATTTTAGGTATGTTATATGAGAACATTAAGTTCTCTGACTGTGTCTTTGGATATATCCAATTTTCCTGCTCGGTATCTTAATTATACACTGTGGTCCAGTCTAAAGCAACTTCCTCTAATATCATATCAGCCATCCCTCTCTCCATGAAGACCAGCCCTGCTCCTTTTCCCTAGTCCGGTCACTCAGTATTTTTTCTTTTACAAAAGCTATGGGCTGTACTTTTCCATGTAGGGTGATAGGTAACAAGATAGTTTCTCCTTCACTATTATGCAAACACAGACCCATATTGTTACTCTTTTTGCATTTTCTTTGCCCAACGAATTTCCATCTGTATCTTTAGCTGTGGAAGACCTAGAGGAAGAATTTCCAGATTTTAAATACTAAAATTCAAACTAAAACTCTCTTCATCCAATAATGTGAGAAAAATATTGGTCATAATCTGATTCAGAATAGGAGGAAGAGGATCTGTGGCATGCCTTTCTTTCAATGGGCAGAGTAGTGGTTTGACCACTTACAAATATACCTAATTGTACCATACTGTAGCTCTTATTCTCTGTTTTGTCCACAGGTACCAGGGGAATCTATACCTGAAGCATTACTGGAGTCAAGATATAAAACATCTAGGTTCCCTTGTCTAAGAACTGAACTGCAAAGAAAATGTAGTTTGCCAGAACTTGCCCTTCATGTTATTGTAAAGGATGTTGGTCCTGATTAGACTGGTTCTTGTCAATGTGAGGGTAGTAACTGATAGTCTACTTACTTTCACTTGCTCAACTATATCTCTTTTGAAATACCTGAAAGTTCTTAGAAATGAACCAAGAAATCAGTTGAGAAGAAACCAAATGATATCTAAGGGGGAAATCGTAAACAACTTTAGGGACTATCTTAGTCTATTTGTGCTGCTATAACAGAATACCACAAAATGGGTAATTCATAAAGAAAGGAAATTTATTTCTCACCATTTGGGATGCTGGGAAGTTCAATATCAAGGTGCTGGCCTCTGGCAGAGGTCTTCTTGCTGCATCATTCCAGGGCAAAACGGCAAAAAGAGGGAGACAGAGCCAGGGAGCAAACTCACCCCTTTAAAAGAAACCCACTCATGTGATAAGAAGCCCACTCATGTAATAACAGCATGGATCCATCTATGAGGGTGATGCCCTCATGACCTAACACCTCTTAAAGGTCCCGCCTCCCAATACCTCCACACTGGAAATCAAGTCTCCAACACGTGAACTTTGTGGGACAAATTCAAATCATGGCATTTCACCCCTAGGCCCCAAAATGTATGTCCTTCAGACATGCAACGTACGTTTACTCCAATCCAGTAGCCCCCATATTGTAACTCGTTCCAGCACCAACTAAAAAATCCAAAGTCCAGAGTCTCCTCTAAGCCATATATGGATGAGACTCAAGGCACAATTCATCCTGAGGCGAATTCTCCAGCCATGTGGAATCAAAACAAGTCACCTACTTCTGAAATTTAATGGCGGGACAAGCATACTGTAGACATTTCCATTCCTAGAAAAAACAGGCAAGAAAAGGGTAATTGGTCTTAAGTAAGTCAAAACCCAGCAGGGCAAACCATATTAAATCCTAAGGGTTGAGAATAATCTTTGACTCCACGTCCCACCTTCTATACCCACTGGGTCAAGTATTGGACCCCCAGTTCCCCAGGCAGCCTCACCTCCACAGCTTTGCAGAGCTCAGCTCACTCCTGAGCAGCTCTCACAGGTTGGAGTTTTGTGCCTGCAGCTCTCCCAGATGGTGTTGTGAGGAGCACAGGGCAGTGAATGCTGAGGTCTTTCAGGCGCCTCTCTGGAAGCCTTGGCCTTAAGGTCCTAACTTGCCTCAAAAATCTCAAAAATGTCTTTGAGGTCCTTCCCCCATTGTCTTATGAATAGAACCTGTCTTCCTTCTTGCCAGATTAATCTCTTCAGCAAATGAGCACTTGGCAACACCCTTCTTATTCTCTCCTGAACTTCATTTTTTATTCTTTATATGACCAGGCTGAGAGTTTCTCAAATCTTTCCATTATTCTTCACATTTCATTGTAAATTCCATCTTTAAATCATTTCTCCCTCCTCACATTTTGCTATATGTGGTTGAAAGAAGTCATGCAGCACACTGAATGCTTTGCTGCTGAGATGCGTCTTCCATCAGATAGCCTGGTTCACCTCTATTAAATTCTGCCTTGCATAAAGTCATAAGGCATGAACAGAATTATGCTAAGTTTTTTTTTGTTTTTGTTTTTGCTTTGCCATTTCATAGCAAGAATGGTCTTTACTCCAGTTTCCAATAAGACATGTCTCTTTTCCATCTAAGGACCTCATCAGAATGGCGTTTACTCTCCACGTGTCTACCAACGTCGTGATCAGGACTCCAGAAGTAATCTCTAAGCTTCACACTTTACCTACAGTTAGCCTCTCCTCCTGAGTCCTCACTGGAATCACTCTTAAAGCTCCATTTATGGAAACCTAGGCTTTTTCTGGCCTGCTCTTCCCATACCAATTTCCTGCCTTAGCCTGCTTTGTGCTGATCTAACAAAATATCACGAACTGTGT